AGTTCAGGAAATTGCTTGTCCAATCCATTGATTGCAATGTCAATTGTTTCATTGAATAAAGTGAACTGTATTTTTTGAAGGGGAGTCAACACAGTTTCGTGGTTTCTTGGTCTTCCTCCGGGCTCATATAGCACTACTTCAATTTCACAGTTATGAACAATTTCTTCTGCAGTAACCACGAGTTTGTCAAAATTAGTCCGAAGTAACTTCAATTCACCTTTACAATTATTCAGATATTTCAGAGCCAGCTGAAAATCCATTTTTTCTGACTGCAAGTATTTACTTGCAATGTTAATCTGTCAAAGTAACTCATACCAAATAACTGTTATGATTATGGATGCAAAGGATGAGAACTCATTTGAAAGTGACACAAGTTTAGCATATGACAATGAATCATTTGATGAGACTCCCATCGGGTTTCACTCCATTTCTTCACTGTGACACCAGCACAATCTTCCATGACTTTCTATCTTTGTGGTGATGCAGAAAAGAATGCGTAGTGACGTTGAAGACATCCAAAATACAATTTTGTTGCTGAATTGCATTTGGCAGCATCACAAATGTTGAGATTCAAAAAAGCCCTACATGGTGAGAATAAGGCCAATGGATTCCATTCAAGAACTCGTGCTTGCACTCCTTTGTTAGAACCTTTCATGTTGCTTTCATCATCATATCCCTGGACTCGGCAGTCATCTATATTTATGTCGTTCTCCACAAGGAAGTTAGTTATCAAAGTTGAAAGCCCTTAACCAGTTTGATCTTCTGCCACCAAGAAACCAAGACCAACTGCCACCAAGTGGCAATTTTTTATTATACTAAAATACCTATATTTCACAATAAAATTAATTATAGATGTAAAATTATGTCAAATATATTGTTACTGAGTATTTGCCGTTCAAAATCTCAATACATTCGCAAGGTTTATGCGTTTCGTTGTTATTTCGAACATTTTTTCTGAGTATTATGAAATAGTTAAAGCAAGTGGTGGTGCTGCCAGAAAATGATTAAAAAATTTAGTCACAAAAAACTTGTGACTAAATTTTTTCTGTTTTTACTTTCTTTCTTAGTTTTAAATTAGATTTTGTTGTCAGGGGCGAAGGAAAAAGGGGAGAGGTAGATGATAAAAAATATACGTGTGTCAAAGGAGTATATAAAACTTTTTATGTCGTGTTAAAAGATTCTCTCTAAAGAAATGGAAAATTTCAAACCTATCTTACAATTTAAATCGCAAAGGACCCGTTTTAAGGTCATTTTTTTTCAAACTATTTGCCGAATAATAGTATCGATATAGTATAGATCACTTTTTTATTCATCGTATTACGCTTACATATTATTTAATGTTAAAAAAAAAATCCTATTTTAATTTTTTTTTCATAATTATTTCGTAATCAGTTCCTATACTTTGTTATTGCATTGTTTTTTAATTAATGTATAAATAATATTACGAAATACGAAAGACGACTCGACGTCTTTTTTTAAGTAGTAAATAAATGATCCATCTAATAAACCAAATAAAAAAAAATAGTAATTTAAAACAATAAGTAAATGTTAAATACAAAATTTGAGAGTTACTCATTACCATTTAAACTCATTTATTATAGAAAGTTATCACTTACAACTGATAATAATGGTCATATTCATCAACATTAATGAAAATGATAAACAGTTTGAGAAACAAATAAAACAAAAAAAACGTTACTTTTTAAGGTACTTTTCCATTTCAATGATTGGTGGTATGTGCAATTATTTTTTAAAACTCCATTTATACTGTCAAATATTTTTAATGCAAATATATATAGTCTATAATTCTCAAGAATTTTTCAAGAAATTTGCTTTCTATGTCATTTAATGTTTTTTGAATATTTGTGGCTATGAAAATAGCCGTTTTTGAAATGCTTTTTCTTTGGCATTGAAAATTATCACTTACGTCTGCGTCTTTGATAGAAATATTTGCACATTCGCAATGGTACCACTGTGGACAGTGTACACTGCACCCAATCTTTCTTTTTAAAGTCTGCATTATGGCAAATCTATAATGATGTAAAAAAATAAAACTATTCTGCATCACATACCATCATATATCTGAATACACAATATACCTATAAGAACATATATATCTCAATTTTACAATTTTTATTTCTCAATAATATTTTTTTAGATTTTAGGGCAAATAATGAACAACTAAAGTGCAAACATCAAAACAAAAATTTTCATTTGTAATTCACGATTGAATTGTATAAAAATATTCACTTACCCTGCAAATATCATACAACTTTTCAAAACCACTTTGAAGGTTCTTCAAACACCCACCACATAAATGTAAAATACGGAATTGCACTTTATTAAAAGGATAATTAAGATTTTTTCCTACAAATCATAAGAACTTTGTTATTTTATTAACAGATATGGAATAATTCATTAGCAATAAAAAAACTAACAATATAAGTTTTTCCTGCATAAGTAAATAATAGAAGATATATAATACTAAACAATGAATCAAATAAATGCCAATGAAAATTAAGTAATTTATTGTCAGTAAAAAATTAATAATTATGCTATTATTAATCAAAAGGTTTCATAAGTTTTTTTTTCAATGTAAAATAATAAAAAAAAAAAATTTAATACAATAAAGAAACAATGATAAATAGATATATAAACAGATATACCAAAACCAATGTCCCCACACTGCTGGATTTGTCACCAACATACATAATAAACTATACCTTCGCACAGCTGTAATGAATAGTAACACATAAACATCACAGTTGTAACTATCTTTTTGTAAGCAATAATTTTGTGTTGAAATAAAATTTGGCTTTAATACGTTGAACTTGTGCCTAAAAATTTCTTTTGCAACTGCAATTGACTTATCATAAGATGAATTATTGAATAAAATATTTAAAGATAGTGGATCAAGAATAGCTTTTTCTTCTGTTTTTACTTTAAGATGTAATAAAATCTAATGGGAATTATTTGGATTAAATGGAATAAGAACTAGATCTATATTTTCAGTGACAACATCTTTCCACAAAAGCTTAATACTTCTTGAATAACTTATTGCTAATACTTCTGTTGGCCCACAATACTTCATAAAAGGATACCAATGCAGGAAGCTTTCAATAACTTCATCTTGAAGCCAGCCCTTTAGAAATTGAAGATTGTTCTTTAGCAATTTTTGCACTCTGAAGAAAAAACAGCTAATGATGATTCTTTCAATTTTTTTTTTTTACTTTTCAGAATGAATGATTGTAACTTGTGAATATGCTTACAAGGATTAACGTTATCATTGCAACTACAGTTGTATAAATGCTCACACAAACCATTACAGGCCGGATTTATACATAATTGTGAACAAAAACTTTCTTTACAGATATCTTGCAAAATGTCGACTTTATACGTTATGTCTTTTGATTGACTTCTCACAGTGTACTCTGTTGATGAGCATTTAAAAACACAGATATCTGAAATCAGCATCCCTTTTTCATGACGTTTTTTATATTTTTTAGGGAGAGATAAAAGTAATTTAATCAAATCATCTAACCTTTTATTGGGTCTTCTATCCATATAGACTGTCTTCAATTTGTTATGAAACGATTCAAGCAACATATTAGTGTCAGTATCCGCATGATGAAAGTTGCGATAACAAGAAGTCCATTTTTTATATCAAAAGTTACAAAGTAATTTACAAAATTAGGACATGTCTTTTCATATCCCTTGACAAAACCTTTCATAATTGATGTAAAATCATAGAATCTTTTTCATCAATCATTGTCTCTAAAATCTGGTAAATTTCTTCTTGCATATGAGCAGGACCAACTAAAGGAAGTTTAGCATGCCATGCACGTTTCACATGCCATTGGCATAGCAAGTGATTTCCAAAGACTTTGGAAAAAGCATTCCAGCTGGAGCAATCATCGTCTATCATAACAGCATTAACGTTTACTGGATTGGTATATCTATTCTTTATTTCCTCCAAAAATGGTTTTATAGTTTGTTCATTAGAATGATTTAAAATAAAAAAAGCTACTGGATAGCCCCTTTTAAGATCATCACCCACAAGCAATATTACTAGAGGAAATGCATATTTGATCACGGCTGTAAAATTGGGCATTACGTCACGAGTTTAGCAAAAACAATTTCCGCATAAAGAGTTTTTTAAAAATTTTTTAAAAATTATTGAAAATTTTAAAAATAACTTTAAAGTAGTGGGGTTTTTTTTCTATAAACGCTTTTGTGTTCTAATAAAAAAAAATGAAACATCTATCTTTCCTTGTTAAATAAGTATTCTGATTAAACTGAATAAAAATAAAAGTTGTAAAAATTTTGCTAATGGTTTGGGATCACTTTTCTGTTTTTTGCGTATTTTAATGAAAACCTGTCTTGGGCCAATCAAGATTAGATATTTTAAGCTACATGCTTGATGATTGAAATTTTACATAATTATAAACGAATGTCTATTTTATCAGATTGTTGGAGGGCATAGATAAAAAAAATAGTTTAAGTTAGTTTTTTTAGCATTATTCTTTTTGTTTTTACTTGTTTTATATGAAAAACGTTCAATTTTGGTTATGCCCTCCAAATTATTGAAATTGCAACCATTTATGCACATGAAAATCAAAAAAATTACTTTCTGTACTTCCAACTAAAACGTTTTCAACCTTGGCAAATTTTTATTCTTTTAGCAACAAAATTTGTAGTTACATGCGTAAAATTTTTGTTTTTATTTTAAAGCAATGACGTAACTTTAAATGCGTTACTTCCCAAATTCACTATTTAATAAAATTTATTAAACCAGCTTTTTTAGCGAGACAAATTTTAGTATAAACAAAACAAACTTTGGCGGGTTTTTTTCTCGTGGCTAATCTACAAACATCAGTTAAGTTGTTTAATCATTTGATATCTATTGCATACTTGTTATTTGTCAATAATTATTATTTGATTTTATTTGTTTGTATTATATTTTTATTGAAAAGTTTATTTATCACTATGCATTTTAGTGAAAGGGAGATATACATTGAATGGGAAAATAGCTGGGAAAATGAATGTAACTTTTTTTTTATTAAGCGATTAATGAACGCTGATAAAATCACTAATAACGTGATTTTATGCATGAACTCAATTTTAATGCGCCACTATTTGTTAAATCGCATAAAACTATTGGATTGCTGAATGAAGAAGAAGGAGAGAGTTTGCATGGCGGCGTTAATCAGGAATTAAGACAGTTGCATTCAGTAAGGAATCAGGAACAGAAGCTGCGTCTTGTTTTAAAACGCTTTGAACTGCACAGCAAAGCTGATAGAAAGCTTCAAGCTGCTAAAGTAAGAAAGTGTGTTGTGTGTTCAGAGCATGGCAAAAAATCGTTTTATAGAAAAGGTCTTTGTCTTATTTGTGGCCATCAAGTTCAATTATAATATTAAAAAACTAATTGTATTTAATTAACTTCCATTCTTATCTTTAGAAATTAGTTCGAATGTGCTTCAACAGTTACGTAAGCATTACAGTTTCAGTCATCATAAAGAATTTTGTCTTTCTGGTGAAAGAATGGGATACAACATAGTTCTAACTGCGTGTACAAAGAGTGTTAATACTACCTTAAGAACAAATCATTGGACCAACTGATAACTAAAAAAATTTCTTGCTTATGAGAATCCACAAAATAAATGATTCTAATAAGTCTTAGCAGTTACATAACAGTTTGTTTCAGTCAGATCATAAAGAAAATTTTCAATCATGAATAAACGACAACTAATACGAACCATCATATTGTTGATCATTGTTGGATGGGGCATCATTAGTTAAACCTTACTCTAGAAGAAGCATGAAGCGCCAACATTTAACATAAGAAGTCATTAAGATTATGGAGAGTATTTTCCATATGGAATGGAAATAAAACTAGTATCAATTGCATACAAAGATCGTTTACTACTTATAGAACATATATAAATATATTAACTGAAAAAAAAAATTATTTATGTCAATCCACCAAAACGATATTTATCAAATTATTTAAATTGCCTATATTGTTATGTATATTTATAAAAAATGTGTTATTTTTCCACAGAAAAGTGTTAATATTGTAATATCAATCTAAGTGTCAGGAAATTACTCTACGACCAAAAGCAAAAATAATTCGAAACTCTTTTTGTTCTAAATCTTTAAAAAAAAAATTTTTGCTAAAAAGTACCTTTAAAATTTCGAAATTTTGCGAAGTTCGTCATTTTGCGCGTTTATTTAAAAATCAGAGCAGCCTTGGATTATTATATTGAATAATAAAATATAAAACATTTAGTCAGTGTTCATATTCCTTTTACAGAACGTATTTATGTTTATTATTTCAAAAGTTATGAAAGTTTTAGTAACACCCCCTAAGTAATTATTTTCAAAAAATAACAAGAAGCCGTATGTCCACTCTGAAACAGCCGTGTGATTAGTGCTATGAGTTGAATCAATACAAACAATTTGTGACACATGCTTTTCAAACATTGCCAGCTGCTGCTTTTTTTGTATTGCAATAACAAAGGAATTCTTGTTGAGATCCAGATCATCATACACTTTAGGCCCAATAATAGTTTGTTGTCCTTGTGGTTTATATACAAGAATGCTACTGAACTCTTCACACATTAATTTTTGAACTAGTAAATATGTTGAAGTACTAACATCAGGGTAAAGTCAACATCCCTTTTTTATGATTCTGTTGATATCAGAAATGTTTTTTTTTTGTAAGAAGATTGGATTTTGTGAGAATAAGATTATCTTTATTAACTCTATTTTCTCTTTCTCCAAAACTCTCCCTAAGATCATGATAGACCTGATTTACTGGTACCCCAATATATAACTTAAGAGAAATATATATTTTTTTACATTATCTGGAATTGGCTGGTACATAGTATTACTAACAGCAACAGTATGATTGTGAGTTTTTATGTAATGCACATTTGTGGTTCCATTTTTACTTATTTTAACAATTATTCTAGCAGGACAGAATGCATTCGACTTAACGCTACCTTCTTGATGGTTCTGTTGCAGATCGATGTGGCTTTGCATGACCATCAATTTGACAAATAAAATAACTTGTTTTTGATTTTTCGCTGCTATGTTTACTTCCAGTTTGTTTACTGAAGTATACGTAACTATTAATTTCTTCTTTTTCTTTCCATGTTAAGAATTCTGTTTCTGAAGAAAACTCATAGTTTTCTGTGGAGAACTGTGATAGATTATTACAAACCTTAGTTCTCGAACTCTTTTCCTCAAAGCGTCTTTCTCGTTGTTTATGTTTATGTTCAAGGCAATACGGACGTTTCAGGTACACCTCTAACAGCTATAACCTGAAAGCGCAACCTCGTTTTGAGTTTTCAATGGGGGGATGTAATAATTCAGGCGGATGTAATAATCTATCACATACCTCTGAAAATTAGTTTCCTATATTAATAATATCTACATAATATTATTCCTAGAAAATATTATTATATAGGATTTATTGTATAAAAACCTTTTCTTATGTATTGAATTTTTTAAAGTTTGTATAATTTAGTGTTACATTTTTATAGTATATAAAAGAAACACTAAACAATATGAACTTTTAAAAATTCAATTCATAAGAAAAGGATCTTTAAGCATTGTAAATAAATAAAACAAAATTTACTAATAAGTCAAGCTTTATTTACAATTTTATTTAGACATTATTTTGAATTTGCGAATGACATTGTATTTATTTGAGATTATTTATTTGTTTTTTATTACATATAAAAAACAAATAATCTCAAATCATAAATTAAAAAACAAATAATCTCAAATAATCAAATAAAGTTTTGATCTTCTTCAGTGTTATGATCCTCTTCAGTGAGCCGAACTTGTCTTCGTGCGCCTTGGTATGTGGCCTCTATATGGCAATTAGCCAGAGCACATAAACCATATGAAGGATAAATGCATGGAAAGTATATAACAATTAAACTGTTAGATGTATTTTTATATTTACTTTTTTGTAGTGCAATTTTTTTATAAGACTCTTAATTATTATTCTCTTTATCTGATCTATATTTAAATTATTTAAAATTGTGGTTTGACAAAGTTATCTGTAGAATAGAAATTTTGATGATAATTGTTAAATTATTATTTAATTATTTATTTTTATTTATTTTATTAGTTTATATTATATCGATTAATTTTGATTGTAATTTTTAAAATAAAATACTACTACGAAAGTTTTTCTCAGGTTCATGCTTTGGTTCCGGTTTCAATCCAACCTTGAATTTCAAATGTACCTTTATCTGAATCTTCCAGTCCTATGTTCGACATTCGGATAGATGTTTTCAAAGTTCCCTGGAAAAGCTGCCAGCTGAAATCATTGATTTACTCCTCAAAAATGCTCCTCTTTTGCCAAAACACGAAAGTACAATGATCAGGGTCATTTGTGATAATACACTTTTATACTTGTTTATAAAAAATTTATAAAAATCCATAGCTTTTTCATACTACCTGCAATGTGTTCTAACTTTATCTACTTCTACCCTACACTTTCTTCTAAATCACTGCATCCTGATTATCTGTAAATGAACACTCTACATGCTCCCTCTACATACAACTTTTTAATATTTTTAACATTTACCTTATTTTCTTTTTTTACTGTAAAAAATGATTTATTAATCTGATCTGATTATTATGTAGATGTATCACAAAAATTAATCCTGAAAAATGAAATAAAATCTGGTAAAAAACAGTATGTCAGATCTAACCCAGAAGTTTTGAGTTTTGTAAACGAACTAGCGCTGTTTGAATGGACAGAGCATCAATATATCAAAAGACGTTTTGTTTATATTTGTTATAACTATTATAATACTATATATATAATAACTAATATAATATAGTACAATTTGTCATAATAAGATATTATTTGTTACCATAAATATTTTATAATAAATAGTATAATATAATATAATTTGATTATATTTATTGTAACTATTATTTCTATAAAAATAATTTCATCAACATGTGTTGATGAAATAATTATTCAGAGTTTATCTGGAAAACGCGCTAAGTCCAAGTAAATTAAGTTTAAGAAAACTAGTAAAAACTGAGCTACTCATAGTTGTGCATCAACAGAAATTGATATATTTTAGGCTTATCACGTTTTATGGTCTATATGATTAAAATATAGACATATGGTCTATATGATTAAAATATAGACTATATGATAAACATTTTAAATAAGGCGTAAATCTGCATGATTTACGCTTTATTTAAAATGTTTATTGTATAACAAAAAATAACTAAACAATTCCTAATAAAAACCAGTTGCTATATTTGCTCAGCAGATTAAATTTAACCATTTATCTCAAGAACTAAATCTTATTTTGAAAAAATGTTTTTTAAGTTCAATTTAGCAATAAAATAGAATGTTTAATACAATAACTGTCGAATTCAACTCGGGTTGAATTTATGTGAAGACGCAATTGACGGTTATTGCTAAAAATGCAACGGATGCATGGAGCGACAAAGTGTTTAGTATGAATCCTTCTGTACACATAGTAAAATATCATAGTAAACAATATTACATTATATTTATAGGTGGAGTTGTATTATTTTGCGGAGCGATATCCAACATAAAGCGGGTAAAACAAAGCTTCGCACTCATTAGCTGAGAGGGGAATCTTATGAAAAGATGTATGCAAAGTTGATTTAAAGATTAACCCAGTTTCTTCAGCGTTAAAACCTCCAATAGAAGGTTTTAACACTGAAGAAACTGCAACTATCATTTTAACCAAAAAATTAAAGTTTTTTTTATTGCAAACATCATTGTGGCCAATAGCGACCACGTATTTGGGTGTTTGGTTTTGAATAGGAAGGTGTATTTATATATATTCTAGATTGAACGCTATAATAAAATTTATTTTGCCTAAGACTTATATTGTTTCAGATATGTTGATATTTATGTTAAAATTAAAAACCTATACAATGGAATCTATTCCCATTCAGTTGTCATCCGTGACCGTAACTTTGTGGATTCACAAGTTATGCTCATATTCAAAACATTAAAAATTTATGGGTGTGTGTCAAGCGCAAGCGCAAACTGCGCCAACAGTTTATGGATGCGTATGAAACACAAACTGCACGAACAACCTATGGAACTTACAAAAAATAATTTACCTTACATCTACGGTTTAGTAGACATCAGCAATATAAAGGTTTTCCAATATTTTTTGCGTGTCTTATATTTGTGTCTAGTTAAAGTCCTTTGCAAAGCAGCTATTTTCATAGCTAATTATATAATGATTATTTTCATAGCCAAAAATATAATGGCTATTTTCATAATCACATTTTGTCGAAAAACATTAATGTTTTTGATGATTATACCATCAAAAATAATACAGTGGTTGGCTACCATATTAGGACAAAGGGACGGATCAAGCATTTTTTGGTGTTGAGGCTAACTTCCATATATGAAGCAAACTCCAAATATTTAAATGTTTATACTTATGTTAAATAAAGATGAGTTGCAATGATTAAAACCTTGGAACAAAAAATCTCAAAGTTTTTGCCTCCCCTTCCCCAAACGTGTGATCAACAAGTTAATAAAATATTTTTTAAGTATTCTTACAGGGTTGAATTCATCGAAAAATTTTAAGTTTCATAATATAATTTCTCAACATTTAAAAAATATGATCATACGATTTTTTGTTCCATGCTCTAATTATAAGAACTTTTTGTAAATCATCCTTATTTGACATTTATAAACATCTCAAACACGAAAAAATGCTTGATCTGCCCCTGTTAGAACTAGTGGTAATATTTTGTAAATATTGAATTAAAATGAGTTTTTAAGTTAAAAAAACATTCAAACAATAATAATTGATAAATAAATTAGTTTCGTCGATACATTTAAGGTATTAATGTTTTTAAATCCAATATTATTGACAAGAATATCGTTGAAGCGCCATAACATTCTTGCTAGTGATTTTTTATAATAATTTTACAAGCTCAAAATTACTCGTATTGATCCTGATAATGTTTTTCCGAAGATCTTGTTTGTTATTTATAATTTCTATAACTTGACATTCCAATATTGATGAATGGTAACCATTTTGGTG